TTTGTCAGTTCTGTTTATCTCTCAAAGAACCAGCTTTTAGTTTTATTAATCTTTACTATTGTTTCATATCTTTTTCATTTATTTCTGCTCGGATCTTTCTGATTTCTTTCCATCTACTCACTCTGGCAGTTTTTTATTATTCTTTTTTCAGTTGTTTTAGGTGCAAAGTTAGGTTGTCTATTTGATGTTTTTCTTGCTTCTTGAGGTGGGACTGTATTGCTATAAACTTCCCTCTTAAACTGCTTTTGCTGCATCCCATAGGTTTTGTCATTTTGTCATTTGTTTCTAGAAATTTTTTTATTGCCCTTTTGACTTCTTCAGTAACTTGCTGGTTATTTAGAAATGCATTGTTTAATCACCATGTGTTTGTGTTTCTTATAGTTTTTTCTTGCTAACTGCTATCTAGTCTCATAGCATTGTGGTCGGAGAAGATGCTTGATACAATTCCAATTTTCTTAAATTTACTGAGGTTTGATTTGTGACCCAAGATGTGGTCTATCCTGGAGAATGTTCCATGTGCACTTGTATTCTTCTGCATTTGGATGGAATGTCCTAAAGATATCAATGAGATATCTCATCTACTGTATCATTTATGACTTGTGTTTCCTTATTAATTTTGTTTTGATGATATGTCCATTGGTGTGAGTGGGGTGTTAAGTGTCCTACTATTATTGTGTTACTGTCAATTTCTCCTTTTATGTCTGTTAGTGTTTGTCTTATGTATTGAGGTGCTCCTATGTTGGGTGCATAGATATTTACAACTGTCATGTCTTCCTCTTGGATTGATCCCTTGATCACTATGTAGTGTCCTTCCTTATCTCTTACAAAATTCTTTATTTTAAGGTCTATTTTGTCTAATATAAAGATTGCTACTCCAGCTTTCTTTTGCTTTCCATTTGCATGGAATATATTTTTTCATCCTCTCACATTCAGTCTATATGTGTCTTTAGGTCTGAAGTGGGTTTCTTGTAGACAGCGTTATATGGATCTTGTTTTTGGATCCATTCAGCTAGTTTGTGTCTTTTGGTTGGAGCATTTAATCCATTTAAAGTAATTATTGATATATATGTTCCTATTGGCATTTTTTAATTGTTTGAGGTTGATTTTGTAGATCTTTTTTCTTCTCTTGTATTTCTTGACTATGTACCTCCCTTTAACGTTTGCTGTAAAGCTGGTTTGGTGGTACTGAATTCTCTTAACTTTTGCTCATCTGAAAAGCTTTTTATTTCTTCATCAATTTTCAATGAGATCCTTGCTGGGTACCGTAATCTTGGTTGTAGATTTTTCCCTTTTAGTACTTTAAATACATCCTTCCATTCCCTTCTGGCCTGCAGAGTTTCTGTTGAAAGATCAACTGTTAAATGTATGGGGTTTCCCTTGTACGTTACTTGTTGCTTTTCCCTTGCTGCTTTTAATGTTCTTTCTTTGTGTTTAGTCTTTGTTAGTTTGATTAATACCTGTCTTGGCATATTTCTCCTTGGGTTTATCCAGTATGGGATTCTCTGTGCCTCTTGAACTTGATTCACTATTTCCTTTTCCATGTTGGGGAAATTTTCAACTATAATCTCTTCAAAAATTTTCTCATACCCTTTCTTTTTCTTTTCTTCTGGGATCCCTATAATTCGAATGTTGGTGTGTTTGATATCGTCCCAGAGGTCTCTGAAACTATCCTCAGTTCTTTCCATTCTTTTTACTTATCCTGCTCTTCAGAAATTATTTCCACCATTTTATCTTCCAGCTCACTGATTCGTTCCTCTGCTTCAGATTTGTTTACTATTTTGAGACAAGCCCCCTAACTTGTCACAGATCAGGTCTTCTAAATAGCACTACTCTATAACTAGTGTTCTTTGTAAAACTTCAATGATGTAAATTTAAGTAAAAATTTAAGATATCACAATTCCAGACCCCGGTTCAATTCCTGGGTCAGGAAGATTCACTGGAGAAGGGATAGGCTACCCACTCCAGTATTCCTGGGTTTCCCTTGTGGCTCAGTTGGTAAGGAATTCACCTGCAATGCAGGAGACCTGTGTTCAATTCCTGGCTTGGGAAGATTCCCTGGAGAAGGGAAAGGCTACCCACTCTAGTATCCTGGCCTAGAGAATTCCATGGACTGCATAGTCCGTGGGGTTGCAAAGAGTCAGACATGACTGAGTGACTTGCACTTTCACTTACCAAGTACATATCTGCGATTCCTTGGTGTCTCAGACCATAGAAAAAAAACTGTCTGCAATGCAGGAGACCCAGCTTCAATTCCTAGGTTGGGAAGATCCTTTGGAGAAGGCAATGGCAACCCACTCCAGTGTTCTTGCCTGGAGAATTCTATGGACAGAGGAACTACAGTCCATGGGGTCGCAAAGAGGTGGACACAATGAAGTGACTAACACTTTCAACTACATGTCCAGAACCTGACTAAGCATTTTGAGATGGGCTGGGGAAGAGATCTAGGAGTACTGGGGTGCAGGAAGCTGGGGTTGGGTGGGGGGACTGTGGTTAACACATTCGGTTTAGAAGCTGAACATCTAGTAGAAATGTGTAGAGCTCATCTAAGAAACTCTGGGAACTAGTTCCCTTTCTTGTATTTTCAACAATCTCAGTGTCAGTAGTAACAATGCTGTGATTTTCTCCTCAATGGAGCAATAGAGATAACAAGGCTGAAATCAAAGACACTCTGTCCTTAAAGAATGGAAGAATCTTCTTTTGAAGGGCTCTTCACACCTCTGAAGAAGTACATCAAAATCAATTAAGCTTTGAAGTCTAGGCTTTATTTCAGGAAGGGGTCACTTGCTGCTGCTTACTCAAGGAATTACAAAATGTGAAATAAGAAACTGCCTGAAATTTCTTCAGTTAATTTTATTTTGATCATCCTACAAGCATTTTTTTTTTTCAGGAATTAATCAGAGTAATTAGAAAGGAAATAATGTTATCCAGAAGGGGAAAAATGAAGAGATAAGAAGGAGGTCTCTAGACAAAACCACCACCAACAGCACCACCACCACACGGATTTGATCCCTGGGTCAGGAAGATCCCCTAAAGAAGGGCATGGCAACCCACTCCAGTATTCTTGCTGGGAAAATCCCATGAACAGAGAAGCCTGGTGGGCTATAGCCCACAAGTTAGCAAAGAGCTGGACAGGACTAAAGCCACTGAGCACACAGCCAACAAGGACCTACTGTATATCACAGGGAACTCTGCTCAATATTCTTAAAAACCTGAATGGGAAAAGAATTTGATAAAGAACAGATGCAAGTATATGTTTAAGTGAATAACTTCGCTGTTCAGCTGAAACTAACACAACATTGTTAATCAATTATATCCAATATAAAATAAAAGTTAAAAAAAAAGTGATCTCTAAAGAAACCAAGGTGGATATTAAGAAAAGATGTACTCTGGCAAGGAAGAAACTTTAATTCTATAAATTAAATACAGAGGGAGCACAACTATTAATATAAGAGAAACAAATCACCAAGTATAAATATAAGTGAAGAGCTTAGATTTATAAGCATATCAGAAGAGCTAAAAAGCTTAACACAGGACAGAATTCTGAATAATACCAAGACCAATACAAAAGTCTCAGAATTGTATTCCAAGCATGAAAAGTTAAGGGAAAATGAAGGCTTACATCTGGGGAGAGAGTTAGTGTAATGTGAAGAGATAACAAAAAAATGAATAATTTAATTTCAATTTTATTCCTAGTGGCTCTCCTACAGAGAATGATCTTCACAAGATGAATGAAAAACCAAATACAAAAGGGACACATACTATTCCATTTATATAAAGTTCAAAATATGCAAAACAATCTATAACATTAGAAATCAGGGCAATGGTCACCTTGGGGCACAGCGCTAACTGTGAAGTGGCCTTGGGATAGAGGCACTGTTCTGTTTCTGATCTAGGAGATGATTACACAGATGTGTTCACTTTGTGAAAATTCATCGAGCTGTACACTTAGGCTGTGCTGGTATTTTGTATGTATGTGCTAATAAAAAGTTAAAAAGAAAAAGAAGCTAAGTACAAAGTGTTAAGATTGGCAAGGAGCTCACCTCACCCACTTTATTAAAAGCTAAGGCTTAGTTCAGTTCTCTGGTCCAAGTGACTCAACGATCTGAAAACTGACATATCACTGAGGTTAATCTCTGAGTATCCATGAAGTTAAGGAGTCAAAAGAACTGAGATTAGCAAGTATTTTTCAAATTTAATAAAAAATGGGTCAGAAGGGGTATGGAAGAATGGATCTCAGGAACTGTATACTATACCAAGTAGCATAATATCAATGCTTAGTAAAAACTCATGACACAAAGTGGGTATTAAAGACTTACTGAGTAAATAAATGTACAGGTCCATTTAATTTTAGTGACTCACTGAGAAGAGTGTGTACTCTCTGAATCAAGATAGTCTTTCTGAAACTGAAAATATTTAAGATAATATGTGAGTTTTAGGAGTGAATCAGATGAAGAAAATCTAACCTAAGACAAACACAAAGATTTAGAAGTTTCGAATCTATTTTTTAAATGTACATGTGTATACAGACAGAATTTATTATGTGTACTTTCTTAATTGATAATTAAAATTTGCTTAAAAGAAAATGTGCTTAAAAAAATAAAATGTGCTTGCATAAAAACACAATCTAATCAAGGGCAATTCAAAAGTAATGGAAGAAAACAAAACAAATTTTTACCAGCAGTTGCATCCAACTGGTAGAATATAAGGTTATTCTATTTTTATTTATTTTTCTAAGGTGTCTTTAACAAATAGTATCTAACTTCACTAGATGTTATGAGAATTTCAATGACAGTGGTACAGTACTTCACACAGTACCTAATACCTCAATAAATGGAAGGTACTAAAAATGTATACCATCATAAATTATTTAACCGTATGTTTTTATGCTGTATAGTTTTAGGGATATCCACTAATCTGCCATAGCATTTTCATTATTCAAGTTATACAAAGTTTTAACATCAGAAAAAAATCTATCTTTATTAAACACAAATCACTCTTACCTTTCGCAATTCAACTGTCACTTCATTTCTGTGTCTTCGCATTGTCTGTAAGAAATACAAAAATTTCATTAAGTATCTAAATATTGATACTGCTGCTAGTATAAATTAAGGTCTCTGGCATTTAATTTTTTTTTAGATTTTATTCTTAAAGATTAAGGATTCATCACTTTTAAACTTTAAATGATGAACTATAGGCAGCTAGAAAGTCAAAACTCCTTTTTATTTTACTGGATACCTGTCGATTAGTTCTATGGGGAGTGGAGACAGAGCTCCGCTGCCTAAGACCCACGCCCCTATCCTAACTGCACCCAGGTTTCTATGGGGAGTTATATACTCTCCACTGTGTGGTCTGGATGGAATTATTAAAGCATGTCCAAAAAAAGAAAAAAGAAAATCATCTCACTCTCTCCTAGCATAAACAGCATGAGCTCACACTCTGCCAACAGAACTCTCCCCTGTAACTCTGAACCCAAAGCAAAATAAAAGCAAAGCGTATTAATTACCAAAGGAAGTATCTGGACAAGGCAGTGAGCCATGCCTATTTCTGAACTTGCTATATTCCTAGTTATCTGGTATCTCTACTCATTCGGTGAACTACCTCATAGTCTTACAATATGGTTTTGCTTTTAAGTCAGCCAGAACCAATTTTTTTTTCCATTTATTTTTATTAGTTGGAGGCTAATTACTTTACAATATTGTAGCAGAACCAATTTTTTTATGCCTGCAACTAATGTATTCTATCTCAAACAGTTAATGTTTCAAAAAAGTAAATTACTCATTGTTATGACCTTAAAATAACATAAAAATGAAAATAAACTTGAGACAGGTATTTTGTATCAAAAGATAAAGAAGTATCCTTCTAAGTTTACTAAGAGGCTCTCTCACAAATGTCTTAATAGGAATTATTAAAATAACTAGATATTTCTGGTAGCTCAGCTGGTAAAATATCCATCTGCAACGCAGGAAACCTAGGTTCAATCCCTGGGTTGGGAAGATCCCCCGGAAGAGGGCATGGCAACCCACTCCAGTATTCTTGCCTGCAGAATCCCCATGGACAGAGGAGCCTGGTGTGTTGCAGTCCATGGTTTTGCAAAGAGTCGGATACGACTGAGCGACTAAGGACAGCACATATATCCCTTCTCCCCTTAACACAGTGATATAATGGATTATTTCATTACACATACAAATACAGTAAATGCTTACATTTTTAGAATAAAGGCCACATGTCATGGTGTATTAATATTTTAATACAGTGCTAGATGCAGTGTGTTATTAATATTATTCTATTTAATGATCTTTTGTTATTATGCCTCTGTCAAGTTTTCTTAAACTACAGTGATAAATTAATCTCTTTGTAGGAAAAAGAATCCCATGGAACCCAAGTTATAAACTTTGTGAAATACACTGAAATATTAATCTAGATATAAACTCATGCTTAAAGACAGATATACATTTAATGTAAAGCAAACTGCCAAACAAAATTCAAATTACTAACATTTATTTGATGTGATGGAAAGAGGCACTGCTAAAACTATCACTACTAATAGGGTTCAACAGTAAAAAGAGTCCTGAATATAATTCTATAGCTAATGTTTCTGGGTTTAGGCTTCAACACTATTAATACAAAGAATGCTTTATGTATTGATTAATCATACAAATTATAATAAATATCGAGCAAATACAAATATTAATGAAGTGTTATCTGATCACTCTGTAAAGAAAGTTGTCTTTATTCACCTGAAAAACTGTACCAACTGTCAAAATCTGCCTGTAAAAACTGTTTGCCTAATCAAACCATTACTAAAACTGAGAAGAGAAAAATATTCTTATTGTAATAACTATACACTCAACTATTTAAAAACTGTTTAAACAGAGTACACACGGACTTCCCCGGCGGTCCAGTGGTTAAGAATACGCCTGCCAATGCAAGGGACATGTTCGATCCCTCGTCCAGGAAGATCCCACATGGAGCGGAGCAACTGCAGCACGTTAAGCCCATGTGCTGCAGCTACTGAAGCCCTGGAGCCCATGCTCTGCAACAAGAGAAGCCGCCGCAGTGAGATGCCCACGCACGGCAACTAGAGAGTAGCCACCGCGCTCTACAACCAGAGAAAGCCTGAACGTAGCAAGAAGATCCAGCGCAGTCAAAAATTAAATAATTAACTAATTAATTACAAAAATCAGATAGTAGACAACAAAAAAGTCTCAGGCAGCCTATTTCTTCGAAAATATGATCAAGTTACGGCTACACTGTAATCTCCATTAAAATACTACTTCAGCAAGTCTACAAGTGGTGGGTTAACTTCTAAAGTACTCTAAATAGGGGTGGGGAGGGAGGTGGGAGTGGGGATCAGGATGGGGAATACATGTAAATCCATGGCTGATTCATGTCAATGTATGGCAAAAACCATTGTAAAGTAATTAGACTCCAATTAATAAAAATAAACGGAAAAAAAATAAAGTACTCTAAATAAATGAGGAATCTACACTTCAGAGGAGGTTAGTTAGCATGTGAAGTGCCCAATTAGTAAGTGCTTCAAATATCCACTTCTGAATTTAGACACTTGTTTGTTAATTAACGTAAGAGACGTTGGAAATAATTTTTTATTGCTGAACTGGAATTATTCAAGACATATGGATTAACTAGGTATACTGTACAAGTGCCTTGATTCTTACCTGTTTGCGGTTTAAGAATCTGACAAGCCCTACAGTCAGTCTTCAGAGAAGTTTTTGAGTCTAAGTGATTCTGTGGCCCACCTCATCTTGAAAGATTTTGTTCCCTAATTCTAGTCAGATCTTCCTGGTGTCTACTTAGGGTTAAAGTTTTATTGCTAGGTGGTAGTTTAGGGTCTAAAAGAGCTAAACTCATAAAACAAGCTCCATGACTTCTTGTGACTGCTCGCTAATACACATTTGTGTAAAAATTAACAGCACTGTGTAATACACTTGTGTAAGAATTAACAGCAAATTCTGTCTAAGGCTTATTTTATTATAACTCACTGGGAATTCCCCGGCAGTTCAATGGTTAGGACTCAGCACTTTCACTGCTAAAGACCTAGTTCCCCTGACCGGGGAACTAAGAGCTCACAAGTCATACAGCATGGCCAAAAACAACAATAATAATAGTATAACTCACTGGTAGTAAAATTTCTAAGGAAAATCACCTGTTACCCTCACCTATCTATACAGTTAAAGGCCTTCTATTCATCCAAAAGAACCTATGGGTGTAAACAGCCAAATGGCTTAGGTCAATCAGCAACAGGTACTAACTTCATCTACGGCACAAACACCTTTGAATTAGTCATCACTTACTCTCCACTCTGTCTCAGTTACAGAAAAAGGCTTCATCTTAGGGCCTCTTCTTCCTTACATTCTTCCCAAGTGATCTCATCCACTCTTACGTCTTCATTTACAGTTTGAAGACCACTCCCAAGTATCTATTTTGCTCTCTCGCCTGGGCTTCAAATCTGTAAGTATAATATTCACTCTTCCGTCAAAAATTTACTAAATCCAACCAAAGTGCTCCACACAATATGCCTGCAACTAGGAGGCAAATATAACAATTATAGTCTGGTACAGTGGTCAGCAAACTGTAGCCTGTGGGCCAATTCTGGCAAGCTGTCTATTTTAGAAGGGCCCCACAGGAATAGTTTGTACATTTTTAAGTGATTACAGTATAAAGGATATTAAATGTCTATATGATACCTTTATTTTTGTCTCTTGGCCCCTCAAAGCCTGTAATATTTACTATCTGTCCTTTTAAGAAAAGTTTGCCAGCAGCTGGTCTAGGGGAAAAGATGGTAATAACACGTAGTAATACAAATGTGTTAACTGTTAAGATAGGAAAATAAATAATAAAGTTCTATATCAGAAGGAGACATGATCAGAGGGTCAGGAAAGGGCTCAATGAAGAATTAAAATATGTGTGCCTGCGTGTAAATTTAGGGATAGAGGATAGATCACTGCAAGGCCTCAAACTCAGCTGCTTATAAATACCACACCTACTCCCTGATCTTCCCCCACAGAAAAAAACACCACCTATGCTTCCATGAATATTCCCAGTATCAGGAAACAGTGCAACCACCCAAACAGTTCAAGAACCCCCATCCTGGTAGCTCATCCATGTCTACTCACTCTCTCATTCTCTGACATCCACAAGGTCAACAAAATAGGATTCACACCTTCTAGCCTTAACGCCACTATCCTAGACAAAGCCACCATCATGTCACCTGATCATTACTAGTCTCCTAACTAGTCTCCTTCTATGCACTGAACCAGTTTTCCATAATGTAGCCAGAGCATTTTTTTTTAATGCAAACCTGTGTTGTAATTCTCTTGAATAAAATCTTTCAATTAATTTTTTAAATCTAGAATCTTTCACTTCACACACACACCAAAAAGTTACCAGGACAGTCAAACCAAAACCTCATGCACAAAATCTACAACAATGGGTGATAAGGCAACCCCACGAATTCTCAAATACAAGAAGGTTAAATCTGGTTAAATCACCAATTATAGGACTGACAAGTTCTCAGCATATCTGCTGAAGGAAATAGAAGGGCAGAAGTAACTGGGTAATTGAAGGAGGAGAGGGGAGGAGAACCCCAAATCATGCATCTCTAGAATTTAGAAAGGCAATTTGAGGATAGCTGCAAATGAAAGGGACAAAGCACTGTAAGAAATGACGAGAGTAGGCTCAAAAACAAGAGGCTGAAGTCCTCCTTCCAGGGAAAAGCCCTGTAACTGAAGAGAGATTTCTGGGAGAAGAATTCCGAGTGATTAAGACACACATAACTAGGGCAAAACAGACAGAGGATCCAGATGAAAGTGGGTGAGTGAAAAAGGGCCGCATCTCAGAAAATAGGAAAAAAAAAAAAATATATATATATATATATATAAAACCATTAAAAAAAAAAGAAGGGGGTCTAGAGTGGTGTGGCTAGAAAAGCTATCCTGACCCACCCCTCACTCTGAAAAGCTCAGGAAAACATATCATAAAATGAACAACATAAAAACAAAAATGAACAACATAAAAGGATTGGGGT